ATATAGGGTAAATATGGCTTTCCATACCACCGTTAAATTTTCATACTAAACTCTCCGTGCACCAAAAGCAGATGAGATCTGGGAAACTGACGGAGTGATACTAGGAATGGAAACATCGTTTCGTCTAACGCGAGTCCACGAGCGGACTGATAAAGATGGATGTACAAATCTCAGAGCCCACAAGACTAGTATAAATGCATTATCGCAGTTCAATCAACTCATGTATTTGGACTTATTGGCGCCGTGAAGTGATGTGAAGTTTCTGATACATATGTCTCCACCGGGCATTGGGAAGAACGGCAAGGCATCCTCCAGTCGATAGATCTCTCGTCACGCGAAACTGATAACCAAAATTTGGTCAAGGTTCTCGCTGCAATCCACGCCATAATGCGACGAATAAATCTATCGAGTGTACAAGCAATCTGCAAATTTCATCTACTAATACCGCAACTGTGATTGAGCATTGTTTTTCTTCAATGATGGCAACTAATGAACGCTCTGTAAAAAGCGAGTCCCGAATTTTGCGTTTCAATTGTATAGTAAAGCAGAGACAATTATTGCCCGTAACCTACCGAACATGATCCCCTATAGAATCCAGGCAACATAGAAACTGAAGGCACTCCCTATTTAGCATCAACTTTTGCGATGTATGAGATGAGATCAAGGACCCGACGAGAGTAGCCCCTACAGCACTTTTAGTCATCTCCTTGCCATTCCGTGAGGGCCTACTCCCGAGCAACCCACCATTCATTGTCATACCAAGCAACCAGCTTGACAAAATTCTCGTTCAGTGAAATTCCTGCTTTTGCATCGAAAATACAAGATGCCTGGTGCCCATTCAAATCGCTAGATACAAGCTCGTCCTCGGTATACGCAATCAACCCCTTATAAGGCCCTTCGGCAGCTTCTTTAACAGCCTTTTTGATCTGATCGTAACTGGCACCATTCTTGAGACGAATTGTGAGATCGACTACAGAGACGTTCTGGGTAGGAACACGCATAGACATGCCGGTGAGTTTCCCGTTGAGCTCTGGGATCACTTTACCAACAGCCTGTGATGGTCAGAAAAAAATTCTTATTGGATTCCCAATCAGATAAATACCTTGGCAGCGCCAGTGCTACTAGGAATGATATTGGTCGCTGCAGCTCGACCCCCACGCCAGTCCTTAGCAGAGGGGCCATCCACAGTATTCTGTGTGGCAGTATAAGAATGGATAGTGGTCATCAATCCCTCGACAATCCCAAATTTGTCGTTGATAACCTTGGCCAGCGGAGCCAAGCAATTAGTAGTGCAGGAAGCACCGGAAAGGATGTCAACGCCTTTGGAATATTTCTCTAGATTAACGCCGCAAACAAACATAGGAGCATCGGGCTGTGCCGAGTAAGCGTCTCAGTATCAATGCAGATGGGCATGCTCAGAGTCCTCATACCGAAGGCGCAGAGCTATATTCTTCGTCAGCGGGTGCGTCATGACCGAGTAAACTGCGGGCAAAAGCGTACATAACAACTTTCTTAGCCCCACCCTTGAAGTGAGCCTTAGCTTTTTCAGTGGTAGTGAAAACTCCAGTGGATTCAACGATATACTCTGCCCCAGTGTCTTTCCAGGGGATATTTGTCGGATCCCCCTCCTGATACATTTTAACAGTCTTGCCGTTGACAATTAGGTCCCCAGAATCGTTCGAACAAACATCCCCTTTGAAGTTTCCATGGGCTGAATCGTATTTGAGCATGTAAACCTGCTCAAAGGTTCAATAACGAGCTGCGGAAAAGTAACCAGAGGGGAAAGAAGGCCCCTACAGCATATTTAGGATCAATAAATGGATCGTTCACAGCCACGACATTGACGTCATCGTGCTCGATACTGATAATCCGTTCAATCAGCAGGTGTCGCTTGGGGGCAGATGGATGCAGTTCAGTCATTTCTTGTAAGAATTGTCCCCTCCGTTAAAGAATCGAGATAACAGAAATCAGGGTGAGGGTGAAGGAGTCGAGATCTCACGCATTACGGAAAACCTAACAGCAAACAGTTCACCAGTATCAGCTCAGGAATACGTTCGCATGCCTCAGGGGTCATGCCAGCCCTGCCAGCATGGAAAACTCACAATACGACCAATACGCCCGAAACCACTTTATAATGCATATTAGTACCACGGCTAGAGGACGATCACGTGCAACGCTAGGACTTACTTGATTCCAACCTTAACAACCATCTTTTGAAGTCTGTTGATGCCGCGATAACTTATCCCCAAAGGCTCAGGTCAGCTTTCTCCCTAGAGTGCTCCGGGTTTATCGGGTTACCAGACAAACCTTTGTGAGGCTGTGAAAAATGCGATGGAGTTTACTCGAGTATGGGATTGAAGTCGAGGATGGGAATGAGGCTTTATACACTTAGGATCGACCTAAAGGGCACCCTAGGATCAACTCGCATTACCTGTCCACGAGTACCGCCCCACTTCGGAGAAGAAACTTGGAGCATAGCGTCATCCACCTCACATCACACCTCGATAAGTTATCTGTTGCACGTTTGCCGCGGGAGTGGTGTGGGTGTCGCGTTGTCCAGAAATGTTTGCTATGCTTAGTTCCTTTATCATAAGAGTAGAAGCTGTCGCACTGCTCGATTTAAGCTCACAGCTCACTCGAGCACCGGTGCATTTGAAATGCCATGGGAACCAGTTGCGTTATTACCCCGAATTGGGCACAGTTTCTGCTGATACAAGTGCTATGTATACATGCACAGTATTGTACGAGTACAGGGCTCCGGAAACCTCCCTCCCCTCCGGGGCATGGCAGAGTTGCTGTACTGGTACGGTAGCTTGCAGTGATTTGCTGTACCGTAGTCCACGGTACCGGTTTCCCCGGAGGCACCGATCGCTATGACACTACAATCGTTCACAAGCCAGTACGAGTAGTGATGTCAGCGAGTGCCACCCAGCGGCTGGCTCCCGGTTCGATCATCCTGTCGTTGCCTTCCGAATTCGGGGAAATCGTTAAATTAATAGCTTCCCCTTCAAAGCCTTGAGGATGCCAAAAGTGCTCGTATAAAAGATCTGCTGGAATTCTGGGGGGTTGATTTCACAAAGCACCCGGAAACGAGGCTATCCGAGGGAAAGGAATTCCCGCCAATACCGTAGAACTCTGTCGAGTCCCGAAACCCAACCACCATTTTCGAAATCGAAGCGTTCCTCTTTTTAAGCACCCACTTTTGGTCGCCGGCACGGTATCGCATAGTAGGGGCTTTGCGAAAAGACTCTGGATGTGGGTCAAACAGGGTTCTGGGCCAATGAGATCGCTAGAATTTGACTCTGGATGCGAAATGGCAAAGTCTCTAGTACTCGTACGTGCCAAAATCAAAAGTCTGTCCCCGACCTTTACCCAGGCGCAACCGACCGAACCACACCCTGCTTGTAAAAATTGGGGCTCAGGGGGGCTCACCTCTCATAACCTCTAGAC